ACCCTATGCGCACATCTATTTTTACATTCCTCTCCTTTGCCTCCGCATATCCATTCACATCCATTTTTACATCCCTCTATCCCTCAAGTTTGGATGTGCATATCCATTTCTACGCTCTATACCACTATACGCACGATCCATCTCTACATCTCTCTATCCATTTCTAGATTTCTAGACTCTATGCGTATATCCATTTCCACATCCCTTTATCCATTTCCACATCCCTCGATCTATTTCTAGATCAATTTCTAAACTCTATGCGCACATCTATTTCTACATCCTTCTATCTATTTCCCTCCACCTATAAGTGTTTGCCTTTGCGTGTCCACATCTATTTCTACATCCCACTCTCTATTTCCCTCGACTTACAAGTGTTTTGCCTTTGCGTGCCCGTATCCTCTATTTCTGCATCCCTCAATCTATTTCCCTCCACTTACCAGTGTTGTGTATCTTGCCTTTGCGTGCCCGTATCCTCTATTTCTACATCCCTCTATCTATTTCCCTCTACTTAGAAGTGTTTTGCCTTTGCGTGCCCGCATCCAGTTTTACATCCCTCATATCCATTTCTATATTCCTCTGTCCATTTCTACACCCATCCATTTCTACATCCATCTATTGTACATCCATTTCTACCTTTATATGCACATCCATTTCTACGTCCCCCTATCCCCTCCACTTATAAGTGATTACTTGATATATCCATTTCTATCCCTCTATCCCCTCCACTTATAAGTGATTACTTGACATATCCATTTCTACCCTCTCTATGCACATCCATTTCTATATCGATAAGTGTGCGCACATCCATTTCTACCTTCGCTACGCATATCCATTTCTATATCGATAAGTGTGCATATATCCATTTCTACATCTCTCTATACGTTTGCTTTGACACATCCATTTCTCTATTCTCTAAACCTATAAGTATTTGCCTGCGTATATCCATTTTTACCTCCCTCTATTCCCAATTTGGGTTTCTCTTGTATACATGCATTTCTACTTACATCCCTCTATCCCCAATTTTCTATATTCTCTCTAAACTCCATTGTATACCTCCATTTTGATAATATCCATTTCTACATCCCTGTATCATAATTGGGTTGTAACCCTCATTTCTATACTCTCTGATCACATTCATTTCTACTTCCTTCTATCCTCGATAACCCTCAGAACGCATTACCTGTATTTTTTGGGATTAGGGGTTTAGATACATTTGGTTTACTACGGGCATTCATTTCTACTTTCTTTCTAAATTCCAGTATTTTTTGGGATTAGGGGTTTAGATACATTTGGTTTACTACGGGCATCCATTTCTACTTTCTTTCTAAATTCCAATGTTCACATCCATTTCTACACTATACGTCTTGCTTTCTACACTATCAGCTTACCTCTATTTCTACGTCTATCTATTCCCTTGATTTAGATACGTTTGGTTTTGACATCTATTTCTACTTTCTCTTTAAACTCTAATGTGCACATCCATTTTCTACTCTCTCTTTAAACTCTAGTGTGTACGTCCATTTCTACATTCTCTGCGCATATCCATTTCTACATCCTTTATCCCTTTATCCCAATTTGAGTTGTAGCCCGAAACACATCCATTTCTACATCTCTCCATCTCTGAGCATATCCATTTCTACATCCCTCTATTTCTACATCGCTCTATGCCAATTTGAGTTGTAACCCGAAACCCATCTATTTCTTCACCTCTCTATCCCAATTTATAGAGATAAAGAAGTGATAAATTATTTACAATCTGGATTTTTTGGGATTAAGGTTTAGAGGAAGTGATAATTATTTACAATATATTAGGTCTATTTATTTTTTTCACATTCGCCTCCAATATCTCAATCTAAGTTTTAAAATATTTTACCATTTCACAATAAATGTTTTTTTAAATACATCATCATCTACTATTTAAACTACAAATTAACAATATTTAATTTTGTTTTAAAATACATCACTCAATGTTCATAACCAATATTAATTCACACTATTAAGTTAGACCATTATCTTTTGTGAATGGAAATCACAATCATTCTCAAATATTAGATGTCAAATTGGATGGCTTGAGGTGAGTTATGACAAAGTGAGTTTTTTTTTTGATCTTTTATATTTATTCAATGACACTAGAACAACCACCCATTTTAAAATTTAAAAGACAATAATGATTGTACGTACAAAAGATAAATGGCCTTTTTGTAAACAATTCCATATTAAATCGCTATATCCAATAAAAGCAATATAAGAACAAATTTAAGTGAGTATAGACGATTTTATATTAAACCGCGTAATCTAACTGCAATGTATTTCCCATGTTGCATCTAAATACTACCCAAACAATAACAATCCATTTGCATGTAATGTATTGCTCAGTAATGTATTACACCAGTAATATATTTCACCAACAATATATTTTCAAGTATCCAAACAACCTTTTAAGGAACTGACAATATATTTCTAAGTATCCAAACGACCCCTTAGGGAAGAGCCATAAAATTTCATAAAAATAGGGAGAGATGGTAAAAAAAAAAATTAGAGAGAGAAATACCAAAAAAAATTAGTGAGAAAAACTATCTCAAAATTTCAAGTTCTAGGGAAAGAACGTATCTTAAAATTTTAGAGATAAAAACTATATCAAATTTTAGAGAGACTCAAAAATTTTAAGGAGAAAAAGTATCTCAAAATATTTAGAGAGAGAAACAATCTTAAATTTCAAGTTTTAGAGAGAAAAAGTATCTTAAAATTTTAAATTCCAAGTTTTAGAGAGAGAAAATATCTTAAAATTTTAGAGAGATAAAATACCTAAATTTTTAAAGAGAGAAACCATCTCAAATTTTTAAAAGAAAATTATCTCAAATTTTTTAAAAGAAAATTATCTCAAATTTTATGCTTTAAAGAGATAAAGTATCTTAAATTTTTGAGAAAGAAATTATATCAAATTTTAGAGACAGAAACTACCTAAATGTTTTTAGAGATAAACTATCTTAAAAATTTTAGAAAGAAAAACTATCTCAAATTTTAAGTTTTAAAAAGAAACTACATCAAAATTTAGAGAGAGAAACTACTTATAACTTTTTAGAGAGAGAACTATCTCAAAAATTTTAGAGAGAAATTATACCAAATTTCTAGTTTTAGAGAAAAAGCATCTTCAAATTTTAGAGAGTGAAACTATATCAAATTTTAGAGAGAGAAATTACCTAAAAAAATTTCTATATCAAATTTAAAGTTTTAGATAGTTTTTCTCTCTAAAAATGTTGTGATAGTTTCTCTCTAAAAACTTTTTAAGTAGTTTCTCTATCTAAAATTTGATATAGTTTCTCTCTTTAAAATTTTGGTAAAACTTTTTACAATGAGAAAAAAAATTATATGTATTTATTGCACACCAAATATGTATAACGTAATTTTCACATGAAAATATTTTGTACGAAAATTATTTCATACCTAACCAAATGTGTCTTAAATGGTGCAAACCCCAAATAGACGATCCAAAGGAGGGATTTGCATAACCTGGGTATTATCTACGAACTATCCAAACAATTATTTCTTAATAACCAGGTTTTGACATAACCAGGGTTTGCATAACCATGTTATGATCCAAAAGTTTTGTTTACCCTAGGATCCAAACGAGCCCCAGGCATTTTAAAATCTTCGATAACTTCTCATTGCCACTCGTAATGAACCCCTCATAACCTTTTATAGTTACCAAAAGATTTTGAGCTCTGTGCGAGCATTGCATCCATTCACACTACTCCCATCAGGTAAAACATGTCCAAGTAAATTTATGACCCCAGATTTTTTAGGATGTCACCTCTTCAACTTTGCTATTAACCTCAAACAGAAAAAAAAAAAATTTCAAAAAAAATTTCCAAGATTGTCAAAAGGCCTTCCAATTTTTTGAGGTTAAGATCCAAATGTTGAACTCAAGTATAACCTTTTTATTTTTTTTAGGTATTCATATGGTGAATCTCAGGTGGACTCCAAATTTTCAGATCAAAAAATAAAGGACACGGTTTCTATGCGGCCAGCGCACATATTGTAGAAATGCAAGCTTGGCAATAAATATTTTTTAAAATATAATTTGATCTTAATTTTTAGAGAACATATAATCTTTAACATGGAAATCATGAATATGAAAACTAGAAATAATAATTTTAAGATGGACTACCTATTGGCATCCATCTTTAAGATGGATGCTTTATACCTCTAGCCCGCATATTGTAGAAATGAGGTCCAGCCCGCATGAAACAATTTTCCAAAAATAAATAGTTCCAAGTAGCTCTTGTACCCAAAGAAGTGTAGGATATGCTCCAAGGGTCCATAGTATATATGCTATTTAGAATTGGGTGTGGTTTGTTGCAACCCTAAACAATCAAAACAAAGTGCACAACCAAATTTCATTATAAGATGCAACTTTGGTGTCAAAATTTTTCAGAATACCTTATAATCTATTTTCATCTCTAATTATAAAATTTTAGATTATAAAAATGGTTCAAAACAAATAGATATATAAACACATTAAAATCTTAAAAATGGATAGTTCAGATAATGTGTTACAAGATATACTAGTTTTGAGATTTAATTTTTTAAAAACAAAATATTTATGCATCTCGATGTTGAGATGATTAGTTAGAGGGTTTTCCAAGTTCAAATGAACCTTTTATGATGGATTTTTTAGGTGCATCTTAATTCTACATTTTTTGAAAGTTGCAACCATATATAAACTTTTTTCTTTTAGAATTGACATTGAAGAAGCTAATATTTTATGACTAGCCGACGCATCTTTTTTTTTTCCTTTTTTTTTCTTTTTTTTTGTTGATAAGTGCCATCCAATTTTACCATCCTTGTAAACTTCATACTTCTCTTAATGTATAGGATATAAACGGAAGTTGAATAGAAAATTGTCAATGCTTCGTTGGCTATATAGCTCAAGGTAGTTTCCATCGTTCTTTTTCTCAATTTCTTTCGCTTCTTTTGGGAAAATTTGTACAGTGATTTACCAGTTAATATGGCCGATACCTGCGCCCACGACCTTGCTGCCCCACTGGACCACCGCTCCTGCCACTCCTTTGTGGGGGAATCTGGGTACCAGGCTCTTGTCTGCACCCACATGAATAGATAGATACTTTTCATTTACTAATGGGTAATCTTATTTACTAATGGATATCTTCAGGTACATTATTGTCTTAGAGAACAGAACTGATTCTCTTCACTTACAAGACATATCCAACTTGCCCATCAGGTAGCAATACAGGCACCATTGACATTCCCATTGGGGCCGGTCCTCTTCCATATATCATGGGCTGCATGTCAATCACATCAAAATGTGATAGCATGTGAAGATGAGAAATTGCAAGAAGCTAAACAAAATGTCCTAAATCACCTACATCCTAACGACCTCAAGAAACAGCACCATAACAACAAGTATCCGATCTAACAAATTATGAGTCTCACCTGCGTGAACCCACCAGCTCGAGAACTGCCCCCAAGAGCCCCATATGCAGTTCCACCAACACCATAGTCAGCATGAGAAGAGTAGGGTGGAATGTAACTGCCTCTGTAGGCACTAGCAGGATCATTCCTCCGGTCAGTCTGGGGCTTGGCCATAGTAGCCTCGAAAGCATGACCTTATGTTCATGTAATAGTGCAAAATTCATTTAAGTAAATAAATTCAAGAACGAAAAAACAGTTTTAGGAAAAAATACTTCACAATTGATAGTGTAAAGGCAAGCTCAAAAGAGTAATACCATTTATTTCATATTTCTTGGTTTCGTTCACAGCATTCAAAGCACTGGCCCTCTTTGCGAAGTGAATAAAGCCGTACGCTCCCTGCCCAGGTTTTACAGGAGGTAGAACGATCCTTGTGACCTCTCCATGGGGCTCGAAAATTTCTTTTAACTGTTCCTGTTTAACATCTTCTGGCAGATTTTTCACATAAACAACCTTCACCTGTAAAATATCACCGAACAAATGCATCTCTTAAATTGATGGAATAAACGTCCCAAATTGTTAGACAAATTTTACGATGTCCTAAATGTTTGCAACCAATATACAGTATAGAGAAAATCAAAAGGCCTTATTTTTTTCCCCAACTGTAGAGATTCAATAGGCTTTTTTTTAAATTGAATAATCGAAATTCAATAGATTTCACTTATACCATATTAGAAAGTACTTGATTTATGGTCCCAAAACCAAAGTTTGTACAGATTACTCTCTGACCGTGCTAGGAAGAAAAAAGAAAAAAGAATCTTGCAGTTGATGGGAAAGCAAAAAATCATTCCAGGAGACATTAAGCAATAGGATAAATAAAAGCAATTGATATAAATGATCTGATAATGATACTACAAATTATGATGCTCTGCAAAACAATCATTCCAGGAGACATTAAGCAATAGAATAAACAAAAGCAAATGATTTAAACAATCAGATAATGATACTACAAATTATGATGCTCTGCAAAACAATCATTCCAGGAGACATCACGCAATGCTCTCAAACTGTTCCTCATGGGCCTGTAGCCTTTGTTCCAGTGGAGAAACACATGGAATGTAGGAGGTTAAAGGTTTGACCAATGCTTGCAAACTTGAAAACCATAGAATTAATGAGCAGCTGCAGTGTAAGGATGCTTCACATGGAAATATATGCATCTCTATGAAATATGAACAAAACATGATGTTGAAGATTAAGAACATGTATAGGGTCATCAACGGCTAAATCCCTCACATATGGCAGACTAGGTCAAAAGCATCACTTCTCAAGAATGAACACAATGCATCTGTTACAACACAATGTTCCTGTGAAAGGGATAACACAAAGAAAAACCCTGGCGGGCTTCCTACCAACAAATGTGTGTTTACATGCTAAACCCGCACTTAAAGTTTGCGCAAAGAGTCGGGAAAATAATTGATTACTCATAATTGAAGATGAAAACCAAATACTTCATTAAATAATTAACCATTTTAAAACTCAGATGCTTGGTGAAACTCTGTAATTTTATCATCCCAGAATTAAGAAAATTATTCCCTTCATTAGAATGATAACGCACTTCATATAGCATGTATGGATGTATTCCCAGATTGGATGAATATTGAATGGGAACTAGTTTTATCACATTGGAATAGAACCTGTAGGTGTTCACCAAATACACAGAGTGCATAACCCATTGAACCCACTGCTTATAGATGAGTTATAGATGAGAACAAAACCATCCAAACCCACAACGTAAATTGTGGAGTGCTTCTTGCTCTTTCAGGCCATAATAAATATACAATACAGTACAATACAAAAAAAAAAAAGTATCAGTTTCCTGCTTCTTATTTCCAAAAAGGAACCCAATCTGAGTTCAGCAGTCCAGCATAAATTCTAAGGAAAACACAGGAACACTGCATACAAACTATAACTAGATGCACCCAATAAACATATGCAAACTGAGGCTCCTGATTGAAAGCCATGACCTAGTCAACAATATCAATGACATGTAGTAGATCACAGTCCAATAGTTATAATAACCAACAGTGTTTCAAAAAGCAGTAGGCGGCCGGGAGGTCTAGGCCATCCAGGGCATAGGCGGGTGCCCAGAACCTGGGCAGCCTAGTAGAGAGAAAAATGTTTGTAGTCTAAGTGCCTAAGCCTAACAGTATAACTATATAACACATAATCCATAATCCATACTTCTAAGAATGAGGAGAATTTAGATAGTCCATAATCCATATTTTCATACAATGCTAGAACCATACAAGCATACACATGAGAGTTAGATAGTAGAAACTAAAAACTAGAACATAAGAAAACAATATACAGAAAATATACAGTCTAAGACTCAATATTCAACACCTAGAGTCAAGCGTCTTCATTCTTCAGTCATCATCATCATTAAGAGGAGTAGGGTAAGCCAGTGTTTTAAAATGCGACCGCATCGCCGCATATGCGACCTCATCAAGCGGTATACGGTGGGCACCACATCGGAAAGACCACATATGCAGTTTGAAGGTATGCTGGCGCATATGCGTCGCATCAGAGCCGCATAGCGCATTTGCCCGCATACTATTCCGCTATGTTATTTTCGATTGTGCCCCTCAGGGATGGGCAAAATGGTCTTTTTTACCATAAAAAATTGGGGGAAATAGTTTGGGGGGTATTAAACCCCCTAAACAAGCATTTATAGCCACTTTCGTAGCTTTTTTGAGATCAAATCAAGCAAAAAAAAAAATGGCGAAAATTGTTTTTCATTGAGATCTTGGATTTGGGGATTGTTTGATACTTGGATCTTGATTTGAACCTTTTGGTTGTTGATTTGAGGAAGTTTAGGTGAATTTGTGACAAGAAATCGAGGGTTTCAAAGGCCATGAAAAAATCGAGCACTGCTTCAAAGTTTAGGTGAACTTGTGCTTATGGTTGTTGATTGTTGAATATTTTATTAAACTAGTTTCAAGTTTCTAGTTTCTATCAGAGGATAGAGGATACAGAATCTTCGATAGCTTATATTTTTAGAGTTAATCATTAAACTAAAATACCTGCTATCACATATATCACCTCCATATTTTTTCTATGCATTAACCTATTTTTTTAGATTTTTTAGAATTTTTTTATATTTATTGATTGCATCGTCGTGATGCACCCGCATCCGGACTGCATCGAGCCGCATCACCGCATCGGCCCCCCTACCGCTTTTGGTTGCATCCCGCATTTTAAAACACTGGGGTAAGCCTCATCATATGCATCAGACTCGAGGCCATCATCATTAAAGTCATCTCCCTCTTCGACATAACACTTGTCCTCCTTTATTTCTTCTGAATCTGCCTCTTCCTCCTCTCCTTCTACCTCCCTCTTACTCTATGCAGATGAAGCCCTAGGAGTCTTGGCTTCTCTACCTGCTGCATCTTCACCCTTTTCTTTCTTTTTGTGCTTCCCTAAACTCAAATATTATATGATTTCCTCGTTGCTAGCCTCAGGAACATTTTTACACAAGGCAACATCCCCTTTAATACTGGCAAGGTGTTTCTTGAACTGGTAAACACCCCCATTAGTATCCTTGTCCACAATAATTACACGATACGATTTTTGTCATTCGGATTCGGGTTATGACCATACTTCCAACCCGGATCACCACTTCTACAGGAACCTAGAGAAGATATTTTCATAGAACAAGGCTCATTTTCTACCTTTTCTGGTTCTACTAAATTCAAATATTGGTCTAATCTCATCCCAAATAACTTCAGGAACCTATTTACAAGAAGCAACACTCTCTTTAATACCGGCAAGGTGTTTCTTGAATCGGTTAATACCCCCATTGGTTTCTTTTTTACAAAATTTAGACCTTATAAAACTTGTCGTTTGGTTTTGGGTTATAACCATACTTCCAATCCGGATCATCTCTTCTAACAGAATCAGAAATAGATGACCTATCCAAATGATAAGGATTTTGTTCCTGTTTGTGTTTTACTGAACTCATATATTGGTTAATCTCCTCTCTGATAGCTTCAGGAACTTTTTTTACGAAAGGCAACATTCCCCCTAATACTAGCAAGATGTTTCTTAAACCGGTTTATGCCCCTTTTTGTATCCTTTTCACAATAATTGCATCTTATACAATTTTTATCCAAAAGATTCGAGTTATATCCATATTTCTAACCTGGATCACCACTTCGACTAGATTTTGAAGAAGACATCTCAAAATAATACAAGCAATAAAAAAAAAAAAAATTTGCATTTACTTTGATTGCTCAATCTCCAAACTTCCACCTCTAAGATGTTTTCTAGTGCTAAAATCTTCAAAAACACCCTCTAATAGGCCTAAAAAAAAACTTCAAAACTAAATCTAATCTAATAGATGATATTTGGATCCATTTCCCATAACTTTGAGAAACAATTTGATCCAATGAAAATCACAAAATCTAGTTTTTTTTTAGGTTTCTCTCACTCTAAAACGGGCTCTAGTGGTTTTAGGTTTCAAATGAACCTAAAATCCACCTTTAAAAACAATTTATTTAAAAAAAAACCCAAAAAAAAACCCCTCAACAAAGGGCATTTCTGCTCATGGGCGGAGCGCAGGCCCTAGTTGGGCGCCCGCCTAGGCGGGTTCCCAGTCGCCTAGGGAAATCCTGCCTAATTTGGCCACCTAGGCCTGGGAGATGCATCCAGGCTTTTTGGGCCGCCTAGGCGCTGGGCAGTCCTCTTTTTAAATCACTGATAACCAATCTATTGGTGACTTTAGAAATAGAAAAGTTGAAACGAAAGGCTGCTGATCGTATCACCTCCTGCACAGGACATTTCCAATGGCAACTGAAGTGGCTACCACTGTTGTAATGTCAAGGAGATGCACTCTCATCCTAGAGTCAAAACCTTATGGTCTTTGCACTCTCATCCTAGAGTCAAATGGTTCTCTTGATTGGCTCTTCATCAACACCTTCCCACCATGCCTCTCCTACATGCTAAAGGTATTACCATGGCTTCTGGATGCCACTCAGCCTTGTAGCATGGGAAGACGCTACCCATTTTCTATTCCAATGTGTTTTCTTGCAAGCATTATAGAGATCTATTGCTTGGTGGTACGGAAAACTGATGGCTGCTGAACACTCCGCTCTCACAATGTGCAGTAGGTGCATTAAATTTTGTTTCAGGTCTACAAGCTTAAAGAATGGGTGGATCGCCCTCTTCATACTCCAGACACGAGCTGCTGCTCACTAGGATAATCCTCCATGTCTAAGAACTAGTTGTAGCCAAATCCTGGTCCTTTCATCCATCGAAAAAAGCCATCCTACAGAACCTTAAGATCTCATGGCACCCACAGTCAATGCGCTCTCCTATGCAACTCTTATGGTTCCCACCTCCTGTCAGCACATTTAAACTCAATATTGATGGGGCATCTTTTCAAAACCCCAGAGCTACAGGGAGTAGACGCATCATCAAAGACAGTTTGGGATGTTTTTTGGCAACCTTAGCTGTACCAC